CGTTCTATAATACATCATGTAGTTGGCCTCTCGTACTATCTATATCACCATTTGAATCAGATCCATACCTCTTAATATGAAAAAAAAAGAATTGCAAAATAAAATGTGAAAAAAATACTGAAAAATTAATTTCACTTCAACTTTTGGTTTTGACTATATATATATATATTTTTTTTTTTTAATTAAAAACAAACCTCACGTTCACATTCTTGCCATTGTAGTATTCGACAAACTTCCATAGGTAAATGTTTTGGATCATGTCTTTCATGTAAAAAATAACATTGTAAACAACGTAATCTTGGATAATGAAGTTGAATATTTTTTTCATGACGATAATAATCAACAAGATTATAGTGAATAGTTGAATGAGTTTTTTGTCCATTTACATTGACTTCTTTTATAAAATCAAATACTTGTCGTTCGGGAATATCAGAAAAACTTCGAATTTGATAAATCTATAAAAACAAATAAATACATAAATACGTAAATATTGACTTTAGGATTTCTTACTTGTGTATAATTTGATTGTCTTGTAGTTATTTTACAACCATTTAATACTTGTTTAGCTTTTTCATAATCATGATTTGTCATACCATGTTTTCGAATATCTTTTTTTAAATGTTCTTGAAGAAAATCAAGTATATCCATATATGGATAGAATTTTGTTAATGTTGTTTGTAAATTTAATGTTAATCCTTTTTGTGTTAAACATAATGCTTGAAAAAATCCTAAACGTAATTCAAAACCATCTGGTAAACGCTTATCAGGTTCAGGTTGATCTCGATAAAATAATGAACCTTCACAATGAGTGACGGGTAATAGAGCTTGTTTGAGTAATGTCTCTAGTATACGAATAGCACTCAATGGGACATTGGAATTAGGTGAACGAAGATAATCAACTATAGTTGATGTTGACCATTGACCAGCTAATTTAAGAATACATAAACGAAAATTGTCTTGATGACCGGACGGAAGGGTATAAATTATTGGAAACCGGTGTTGACTTAGATGCGTTGTTGAATAAAAACATTTACCTTCATCATACCTTAGATATATAGCATGTTAATTAACATTTAGAATCACTATCATTTAAGGATACTTGTTGACAGATTTGAGAAAAAAAAATTTTCCTTTGTAATTAATTTTTCGTTTATTTTTTATTTAACATTTCGAAGAATAATACCGTCCTGGTTTCAGAAGAAAATGTATAATTGCATATAAATGCATCGTTAAGGTTGTGCGGTTCTTTCTTTTTCTTATTATCTATCTTATAATCGTACGAATGATAAAATAAAATGAAAAAAAAAAAATCTCATGTATGTCGTATTTGACTATATTAACATCCTGTTTGTGTATTACTCAAGAATCAAATGAATTTCGCAATGTATGCATATGTAAAGAAATTTTTATATGTTTACAATTTGCGCATTTACTTTTGAAGAAAGACAATATTATCATATGGAACATGAAGTAAAAATTAAATAAAAAACTTTTTCTAATATAATATATTAATTATCTCATGAAATTATTACTCATTAAATTTAATCTATGTAATATTTTTCGTGCAATTCAAAAACATGAAAATTTTATCTTACGATATTTAATTTAGTTTTATCTCTTACCAGTATATATAATCAAATGCATTGTTGTCAGCTAATTGTTGTACAAATCGTCGACGATGATCACGACTCAGTACTTCATCCCAAGTGCTTTGTGACCGAAAATTGGGTTTTTCTATGATAACATCATATTGATAAAGCATCAAATCAGATGCTACTCTAACGGGAAAATGATTAACATAGACTTCTGTTGAGGTACCTTTTGTGCCGGGCATTGGTTTAGGTGGTGGACCAGTGGTTTGGTCAACTGGAGGCAATAAAGGAATGGCTGATGTTATTGGAATACGTTTCATTCGACGTCGAATTATCGGAGGTGTTGAATGAGGTGAACTAGATGGTGTTTCCTCATCAAATATACGACCGTTCTTCTCAGTATTGACTATTGCAGCCAATGCTATCGCTCCATTTGACTTTATCTCAGACTTAGGAATTGTTGCTGATGCGTTCTATAATATTAATATAAAGTAATTTTAAAAAAAACCAAATATGAATTTCAAAAATTTTTTTTACATCCTCTACTTGTTTATTAGCGTCTAATGTAGGTGCTTGCATTTCTTTGGTTTCCAAGGCTACATCACTGGTCTCTTGATGCTTATGCGCAGTGGTTAATATTGCCTCCGTTTGATCGATTTCGTTCTGCTCATTATCAGGCGGTTGCGTTTCTTGCAAATTAGCTCGAGCTTTTCTACGTCGTTGTTTTTTATTAAGTGATGCTGGTTGATGAGTATTCGACGACATATTTACCTAAAAACGAAAAATACGGTATAGCAAAAGAAAAAAAAGGACTCATATACAATTAATGGCAATCATGCATGACTGTATATATATATATATATTTTTCTTCGTAGTAACAAAAGTTAAAAGAATACGTAAAAAAAGGAAAAGAAAGTTGTAAAATATGTAGTTCCTATGAATAAAAAAAACTTATCATTTAGAAATTTATTGATATAGGTTATTTAAAACGTTGTTTTGAGTCTAACTCATTGAAAATAAATTTTATAGAACATAAGGAATATACATATATATATATATACGTTAACTACTTCGGTTGTCTCAAGGAAGTAAAAATAATTGTTTTTTTTTAATCACACTTGCATATTCTGCAACTGAAGCCACACAGAAGAAAATAATAAAATATTGTCAACTTTTTTTTTCACTGCTGTCAATCGATAGAAGCACATGATGTTGAAATGATGACGATGTGTACACAGAAAAAAGATTGTTGACGATAATGATTCATCATTATCGACAACAAACATTCTATGGCAATTTTGCAAGCAATAATATTATCTTACGATATATTGTTTTAAATGGTTATCAAAAATTAAGACACGAAAAAAACTACTCATACTATAGCAGAATAACGATTACTTATCAAAAGAATACAGGCGTGTCAGTGTCATGTGGATAGAACACAACGAACATTTTAAGAACATGAAATTTTCTTTATTATTTTTTCTTGTTTTTCTTTTATCTTACATATCAAACTACGTCGATTTCATTTCTTCTCATGTTTTTGTTCTTGATACTCGATGGGCAAACATAGGCTTACAACATTCTTTATTTGTTCGCAGAAATATACGTAAAAGAAAAACAATAATAAAAAGTAAAAGAAAAATGCGCTCCTGGGTGGGCTCGAACCACCAGCCTTCCGGTTAACAGCCGAACGCGCTAACCAATTGCGCCACAAGAGCTGTGATATTCTATCTTTTCACACCTAGTAATACATTTTTATTATAAATAATCACATGTAAAAAAAAAACTAAAAACTTGAAAATCTTTTATATGACTTTTATTATAAATTGAGCAGTGATGGGATCGGTTCGTATTTTTTTTTGGAACCGAACCGAATCGAATTGAACAGATTAAGAAATAAAGAAAAAAAGTTTATTAGTTTCTAGTCTTTTTT